AAATGATTTGGATTATTTATTGGTCATCATATTACTTCTCATTCCAATCATCTTTATTATTACAATTAGAAACAATTAATGTAAGTACATTTTATTCTTTAATTGTTGAATAGTGTCCAAAGGCATGTGTGTTTACATTGTCTATGGCCCATCGCTTATCATCAAGTGGACTCAGTGAAATCTTTTTAACTTGAATTGCTCTGATCTTGTGTTCCTTACTTTCTAGTCTATGATTAACATTATAAAATATTTCTTCATTATACAAACAATTATAATACTGGTCTCTTGTCAATTGTTTTTCAACTATACATCTTTGTGTTCCTTTTGATCTTTTCTTTTCTCCTTCATCGGATACAATAACATACATTTTAGATTTTAATGCAATTACTTCATATATTTGTGATCCATTCATTTCATCCTTTAAATATCCAAGTTTCTTTTTATTTTGTGTATTGTGAAGCCAATGTTCTTCTGGGTAATCACAAAAGTCCATAATGTCCTTGAACCTTCCCAAATCTACATGTAAATCTTCCGTCTTCATGTGATAAATAAAACTGTCCGTGTCTGTGTACAAAAGTTTGATATTGTTTCCATAATGTGATTTGAATGTATCATAATGTAATTGATACATATGTAACTTGGCAAATTCCAGTACACTAAATCCAACAGCTATTGGTTTATCCAGATATACTTTTGGTCTTCGAAGCTTTGCTATCACAAAGTTTTCATTTATTATTGAAAACTGATCAAACAAAGGTTTGTTTACCACTTTGTTTATCTGTTTCTGGTTTGTTAAAAATATAACCTTTGAATGTTTTCTCTTATTTTCAATACTTTTTCCATAAAGTGAATTGACCATTAATTTCCAAAAATCTTTCTCAAAATTCGTCTTGGATTGTTGTCGTTTACTTGTACACAAGTCGATATATGGTTGTAACCATGCAACTTCTTCGAAACTAATTATTCTATGAATTTTTTCCAATATTAATCCTTTGTCCATGTAATATTTTAAATTACGATAATGAATAACATATTTTTCCTTTTTCAACAAATTTGGTGTCAACTTTTTACCAGCAACTCTTTTTTTACCCATCAATTCCAGTTTTTCAATTAATGATGTTTGGTAAGGACTCAAATTTTCTTTTTCAATTGTCATTTGTTCAACTGCCAAAGGATAATCATCATGCCAATCATGAAGATCTTTCGGATAATCTAAATCCACTTCTAATATATATCCTTTTTCTTGTTTACCACTTTTTATTTCTTCCATTATTGATGAAAAGTTTTCTTCTTTTTCCATTTTGAATTTACCATATGGAAGTTTTTGTTTGAGTGCGTACCCGTAAAGGTTATTCACGTCCAAGTAAGTAATAAAACTTTTTGGTTCATTTGAATTATAATTAGGACAACTTGGATTATTTGCTTTAGCATGTCGTGTCATTGCTGATGATACACCACCACGAATACCATTCTCAATCATCATCAACATATCAATATCAGTTATATGATCCAATCGAACTTTAGTCATCTTAAGTGCTGCCATCCAAGTTAATCCAGGTGTCGAAAAGAAGTTGGCTGGGTCTAATCCAAATTCACTTAAACTCATTTTTCTAAAGTTTTCAAATACAGCAGCTAATAAACAAACATCCACTTTCAAATATATATCGTGAAATTCACCAAGTGTTGAACAGTTAAACTCTTTAAAGATCTTATTCATTCGCTCATATACTTCAACACTAATCCCACTGTTAGTTAATGATGAGAAGAATGCATCTATTGGTGGTAAAGATGGTTCATCAAATCGGGATATACAATCCAAATATTCATAAGGTAAGCAAGCTTTACCCAATAACATTTCAATGTTTCCATCCGTGAATATTTGTTCAAGTATTTTAATTTTATCCCCTCTATCCAGGTTCTTGGCTAAATTATCGAGACTTGATGGTAAAAAAGCGAGTGAGTCGATAAAAATAAATGAGTCCATTTGTATTGACAAATATTTGTCGATTGTTTGTGGTATACAATCAATCTTTGTGAATAAATCGTTATCAACAGCTTGTATTAATAAATGACCATCAAAATTTTTTAAATTATGAAATACAACTGGTATTTTATAATCCCATTTCCATTGTAAATTACATGCATTATGGGCTGGTCCTCTAAATTCACCAGTCATATGATCATGATCTCTCACTTTTTCACTATCATGATCAAAACCATAACCACAAATATGACATTTATCTTCAATGTAGAATCTTGCTTCTTCTTCCAATGTCAAGTATAATGGTTTTTGAAGTTTATCATACAAACGATACAATTCCATTTGTACAGCTATAAGTGTTTTCATAAACATTGAGTCAGCATCCAATCCACGATAGAAATCTTTTAAAATAACATCACCTTTATAATCAACTACCACAAAACCATATGAACAAGGTTTATGTTCTTGATAAGCAAAAGAGTTTTTGTTTTCATGTGGTAACTTTGTCGCTAATGTTTCAAAATCTGAATAAATGATGAAAGGATATTTGAACATTTTTTTATAATCTTTAAACTTAATTGTTGCTCCTTTTTCTGGTAACTCAACTTGTTGTGGTGATCTTTTAAAACAATTTTGTTGATGATTAATTAATTTTTCTGATGAACGAAATCCATGAAGACAATTCAAACAATGTTTTTCTCCATGTTTTCCATGAAAATTTAACAAACGATCAAAGTTTGAAATAAGAAAATAATGGTTGTCGTGTAAAAGTAGATTCACATGTTTATCTTTCAAGTCACTTGTTATCCTAAATGGCAAAATGTTTTTCTCATTTAAAGATAAAGTGTAAACATTCACTGAGATGTTGTTTGTCTTTTCAAATTTGTTGAGTTGGTTGATTTTCACTTCACCACGACAACTTGAGAAATCATACCTCCAACTCTGTAGATCATATTGAAACACTCTTTGTCGATTTTTGTCAACTGGATGTAAAGCTGCCAAAACACAGTACATGAAACAGTCCGTTGTACAATCCATATTGATGATAGCTTTTTTATCCGTAATGTGTTTCGGTAATTGACAAGTTTTACATCCTCCTTGATGTGGTTCATATTTAACTAAATGTACCTCCACATCCTTAATTGAGTGAACACTCCAACCACTTCCTTCTTGAGTAAACACATCCAATTTAGCATCGATTTCTTGTGAGCATTCACCGAGAAAATGATGAATATAATCATCATTACACAAAACTTTTTTTGATGAATTGATGTAAACAGTTTTTTTCTCATCTTCACCATCATCCTTACTTGGTCTCTCTAAAACAAACCAAACACCAATTGTAAGTTTTATACATTCCAATTTAGTCACTAAATCTTCTAGAAGACTTGTTAAAGATGAATTTTCATTAGAAAATAGTGTATCAACATCATTAGTGTCTACATCACGCATAGAGTAAACTCCAAAAGTATTATTGAAAGCACTTTTTGATAAATTAAACTTTGGATGTTGTACTAAGTCATTCATCTCTTCTTTCTCACATTTTTCTACATGTTGTTTAAACTTTGTTAAAATTTTAAACTTTCGTCGACAATGTGTACACTTATAGGACATTTTACACGATCAATAAAGTAAACGACAATTAGGTCAAACATTTATTGTTAAACTGAGCTCAGTGAGCTCTTACATGGGTTTTTATAGTCGACTCACTCCATCATCCAATATCATGACTCCCTTAAAAAACCAGTATCGAATGTATGACATTGGCTCCGCCTCATAATTTAGAGCTCGCAATAGCTTAACCATATAGTCGAGAAATTTTCCTCTGATAATATACGAAATGAAACCTATATCCAGTCCCATCGAAATATCATCCAGGGTTAACACCAACTTGTTTATTGGATCACCTTCTGCAACTACTGTCGGTTTAGCCTTTCCAAGGTATAAATCCTGATAATCACCAGTTTGGTCAAATTGAATCAAGTAGTTTCTCAACGCAAACAAATCAATGATCTTCAAATCCAATTGTTTCTCTGATTTTTCGTTATCATATCGAATCATGATTCTTGGGTACCATCTCTCGAGTGTTTCTGTTGTTTTAGCGACAATATCAATTGAATAATGGTTACCGTTTTTCAAATAATATTTTCCCAAATTGAATATGTGAGTTTGGATACCAGGTGTATTAGGTTCAATGTCACTAGTATCTTTCCATCCAATTACCTTAGGAGCATGTTTATTTGCGTATCCTTGTCCACATTTACGACTTATCTTTCCAATGTTTTCAACAAATTTTCCTTCTTTAATTATTTTCACCAACTCAAATGGCCAATAGTAATCCTTTGATTTTACTCGAAGTTGGAGTCCACCATCACTTAAAGTTGTATACGATACAAGTTTATTTATGTGAACATAGTTGGATTTACCACCAATAATAGATAATCGTATCTCATCAAATTCATAGAAAGGTATTTTCGATATCACCTCCACTCCATTTAAAATATAACTTACGTACACAGTAAAGAAAAAATGATTATTATATTTATACTTTCCTCTTAATGAAATTGTATAGACAACACCGTCTACAGTTTCAACATGTGTTAAAAAATCGGTATAAGTCATTTTAAAGTTTTATCATTATTATTCATAGACATTTCACCTTTATATTACACAGTTTAAGGTCAAATCTAGGTCAAAAGACGTTTCCCCCGTTCTCTTTCTTTTTCTCTTTCTTTTCTCTTACTTTTTATTTTCTCTTACTCTTTCTCTTTCTTTTTCTCTTTCTTCTCTTTCTTCTCTTTCTGTGCCAGTGAAGCCTTTTTTTAACTACTCCCGTGCACTGAAGTTGATTAATTTACACCCATTTCAAATCAACCGCCGTACGAATAACCCGCACAAAAAGTGGAAAATTTTAGGTACTTGACTGTTGGTCCATTTATACAATGTAAACTTTACATTGTAAAGTGTAAATAAACACTCAAAATGGTTATTGATAGAGATTGAGAATCATTTTTAGTATTTAACTTGATCGGCGATTGAATTTTGTCATTTCTTTATCTTCGCCATTAGTTGAATTGACCAAAGCATTGAGCCTTTTTAATTTCTCATCGATATCACATCGAATTTGCTTGAGTATCCTAATGGCACTTTCATCGGCATCCAAGTCATTTCGGGACATGAGGCCATTGGAAATGTCGGAGACAAATCGATAATTACCAAGACCATCGAGATCGGAAGCTTCGTCTTGTAATAATCTACTAGTTCGACGGACCATAGCCAATAAAGACGAAGACGAACTTTTCATGCGATGAGGTTTTTCCATCGGCTGGCTAGATATTAATATCGGCGAGAAATGAAGAGGCGAGTATTTGATGTAATCACGATGTCGATTCAGCCCAGAATCAAAGCCGATCTTAGATTGATGATGTTGGGAAGATGATCCATTGTGATGAGGATGATGAGGTTGGTGTTTGTTTCGAGTCTTAGAAGTTGATTTATCACGATTTCTTTCATCTTCTGAAGATGATGAACTATTTTCGTAAGATGAGCAACTCGAGATTAATTTTCTCGATCGATTGTAATTGTGATTACTTGATCTCATTCTCATCTTTCTCTCGAAACTCGAATTGCTTCAAGTTTACCGTTAATTGTTGTTAAATTGCTCTCCAATTGATTAAGTTTCTCTTCTATGGCAGCATTGGATGCAGTTAATTCACTTTCTTTACCTTCAATAATTTTCTTCTCATCGATTGATTGTTTGATTGAATCCAATTCTTTAGTTAAATAGTGTAAAACTGATTTGGTTTGATTCATATCGTCGTTGATTGTTGCTTGACTTTTGGTAAATTGTTCATCTTGTTTCCTAATTGATTTGTCCATCGAATTGATCTCTTTACGAACCAAATCTCGAATCATCAGTCTAATACAATTTTGTTCGAAATTTACAGCAACTTTATGTGAAAATTCAATTCTCAGTTTAAAGTGAAAACAAAAGATCGAAAATGTAATCTTCTTATGGTAGACACAATTCATGTTGCTTGGGTATTAGAAAAACTAAAGTGCTTTAATTACTAGTGGTGATTTTCACTTCAAGGGCGAAATTGTGAAATAGGAAAAAAATCTCGATAATTTGCTTATTATTTATATTACAAAAATCTTCAATTTCTATTAACAAGAGGCGATGTTTACTGTCTTAAGTCAAAATGAGAATTAAACTTTCAATTATTCAAGCAATAAATGGGTGAGTTCGAATATTATTAATAATAGTTGATCAAAAATTAGCAATAGTTTTATTGAATCATTAGTAATCTAGCTAATTATTCAATTTGTGACAAATGAGTACAGAGAATATAAATTGAATAGCTTCTTGGTTCTTGAGTTCAGTTCATCAATGATCCTAATGAACGGATGATCTTTATACATGAAATTAATCTTGGTAGTTATTAGTTGATTGGTAAGAAGTGTTCAGGGTGAGACATGGAAGGGACTAATTTAGATCGCGCATATTGTTCATTTGACCGAGAAAGAGATTGACTCCAGTTAGATTGTCACGAATCATGAAGATGAAAGGTCTGTCGAGAATGAAATCTTCATAAAACTTTGGACCAGCTCCACCCGTCATCTTCATACGAGTGTTCGCTACAGCGACAGTTCCCTCTTCATCTACTTCTATGAGAGCAGTTTGAAGGGATTCGGATACAAAAAGTAAATCAGATTCTTCAGTGATATTTTTAAATTCTGCTTGTTCAGTAAATGGCAGTTCCATTCCCATTCGTGAAAGAATATTATCTAAATCGTGAAAATCTTGAAGCTTAAATTTAGGAATATTAACCAACTTGAGATATGTCAGACACATAGAATTCAGAAGATTTTCTAATTCCGTAGGATGTAAAGTAGAGATCAAATTGGACACAGTATTGGATTTGGTGGGCAGAATGAAGATCATACTAACATCCCCGTTGTATGGGAGCTCAACAATCTAGAATTAGAAAATTGGTCGACATTATTGAATTGAATTGACAAGAGTTGATTCTCTTTACTTACCTTGAATTTGGCTGAGCGATTGTGAAGATAATTACGATATGTATTAGGAAGTGACATCATTTTAATTTTACTCTTAGTTCCATCAGAATTAGCGAAAGTCTCATCAAATGTGTACTTTTTATTGAAAGGTTTGGCCCATTTTCCTTTGAAATAAAGAGTGTTAATGACCAATAATAACATTTCTGGATTCGGGGATCTGGATAAGACTTCACCGATTTTCCCACAGGTTTTTTCAGAGACCCACGAATTTAGCTTATCCATAATTGCCTTTCCATTCTGAAAATCTTCATTTGTCACTTGAGCGAAATAATTAGTCGTTAAGCTTTGAACAAACGCTTCTTTTAATGGATAATCTTTATTGACCATCAACAAATTGCCATAAAACAACGAGAAGCTACGATCACTTTTACCATCGGCAATCGATTTATATTCATAAAGAAGCTAAAATAAAAACATTGATCAGTAAAAAAAAGAAATAAACCAAATTATTGATAAACAAAAGAATTGATTAGATTTATTAATATCAATGTAGTTACCTTTTTCGCGGCTTGAGAAACTTCAGAAGATAATTGGAGAACCTCTTTGATCTGTTCTCTAGTTGTACCAGTCGCTCCTTCCAATAACATTCCATAGGCTAAGATGACACTTAAAGGAGAGAAAACGACATTTTTATTCGGATCACTGGTGTTTAATTGTTCCAAGAAACGAAGTCCAAAACTATTAGTTGGTCCACTTAATTCTGACAACATGATGTCCGTTAACGGTTTAAACTTTTGATTGAATTGTGCTATGAAATATCGATAAAATCAGGCTCAATAGTCACTTCAATACAATGTACAGACTTTTGTGAATCAAAAGGTCGAAGATGTAAATGTTTTAAGAGAGGGAAACAGAAATTCTGTTACAGAATTAGTTTTGGATCAAAACTTTTGATTGGTGATTAGAAAGACTGAAGCGCTTCATTAGATTTTACAATTTGATGTGGGAAATTTAAATGCGATATGAAAATTTTGCGAGTTTTTAATTACAAATATTTACAAAATTTTAATTTGTATTTCGAATCAAAGAGCGATGAGCAGCCCTAAGGCGCTTTCTAAATAGCTCATTGTAACGATTGATATTCTTGACAAGCTTTCCATCGAGAATTATTGATCAATCAACATTATTGTTTTTCAACAATTGATTGTATTTAAGCGATAAATGGATGAATTCAAATATGGTGGTGGACAAAATTTTTTGAACACCATCTTTTTGATTATGAATGAGAAAAGAAACGGAATACAGTGGTCGTTACACTTATCGCAATTTTTTTTGAAATGTTTTTTAGTTAATTGGATAAATCTCTTACAGTTGGTGTGCTAATTAGAGATGAGTAAAGGGTTAACATTAAGCTCTTTGTCTAATTAACACACTGATCTTGCGATAAGTGTAATTGCGATAAGTGTAATTGCGATAAGTGTAATTGCGATAAGTGTAACGACCACTGTATATGTTATTTTACTATCTTAATTCGTCATTTATAAAAGAATTAATAAGTTTGAAAAGAAAAAATTGAGTCTGAAAACCAGTGTTAGAATTTAATGGAATTCTAGAAAAAAAATGCGACAAAATTTTTTGAACACCCACCATGTTTCTTGATCGAGATGATATTTTGATAAAATTATTACCTAGAATTATTGTTCTTATTGTTACTATTGTAAAATGTGAAATAATATTTAAGCTACTCGATCAGAGTTTAAACATTAATTAATTTAATATAAAAAGAATTGTAATTTAAATAGTAAATTGTAACAATTAAGGTGACTAATTGTAAAATCCTCAATTAGTAAATCAGTAAATTAGTTAATTAGTTAACTAGAATATTAATCACAATTAAACAACAATGATTAATAAGTAAGTTAAATTAAAGGATTAATATGAATGACAATTTAGTAATTGATAATGGATTCTAAATCTTAATGAAACTAAATTAAATGATTAAATGTTGAATTAAATAAGATCCAATTGATTAATTGTTCAACAAAATGATCCATGATTTTCAACAGTTACAATTAATTCCTGTTCGTTTGTCGTGAATCATGAATATAAAAGGTCGATCGAGAATGGATGAAATCTTCTTTCGCTCGAGAAGTACTCCTGCCACCCTTTCCGCAAGTGATGTGTGTCACCGCTGCAGCGACAGTTCCCTTTTCATTGACTTCGATAAAAGCTTTTTGAATTGATTCGGATACGAATAAATCAGATTCTTCGGTGATGTTTTTAAATTCTGCACGTCCACTGAACGTCTTTATATCGACCCACAAGTTCACCTATATATTCAAGTATACCGAAGCTCAATAACCTGAAAATGAAGAAAGACGAGCAAGTGATTTGTTATTGTTTTTATCCTAATGAATGTTAACTCAAGCCGTAGACATGAACTATTAATTTCAGTTCAATTTACTTTAAGTAGGGGCAAAGCATCCGCCTCTGGCCCAAATCATATTGTTCCCCCCTTTTACCTTTCTTTCTCTTTCTTTCCCTCATCTCACCTATTCTCTTCCCCCTTTTCTTAATTTTGTTGATTTTCTCTCTCTCTCTCTCAACCTTGTTTGAATTATTTTTCCCTCTCTCTCACCCAACCTCATTTTTCTTCTCTTTCCATCCCAACCTTATTTTCAATTATTTCTCTCTCTCTCTCTCTCTCTCTTACCCAACCTCATTTTCCTCTCTCTTTCCCATTACACTCCTGTTCTCGTTTAACGCAATTTTTAATGTGCTCGTTTTACGCAATCAACAGAGTCGCCATCTAGTGTTTTCTAGTTTTTTTCATTTTTTACATAGAAAAAACTTCAAGCCAATAGATGGCGACGGTGAAAACACAATTGCGTTAAACGAGAACAGGAGTGTAATTGTTTTATTTTAAGCATAATTATCTTTCTCTCTCTTTAATCATTTAAAATTCTGTTCATCATATGGATAATTATATTTAATGATTGTTTATAAAATAATTATCTTCCCTCTTCATGGTTAACAAATTTTTTTAATTATCAAAGAGAGAGAAAGAAATAAACTTGATGAGTATAAAAACAAAAATGTTTTCTCTTTACCAAACAACATTCACTGTTGATTTGGTAAACAAAACATTTTTGTTGTATACTCATCAAGTTTATTTCTTAAAGAAAATTTCTTTATATATTGTTTATATATTTGATTTATTTTAAATAAACATCAATATAAGTGTTTTTGCATTGTGCATTAATATTTTTTGTGCATTTTGTTAAGTGTATTTGTACATTGTTTTAAGAATTTGTTTTATTAAATTAAAGAACACACAACATCAGTAAGATTATTTTGTTTTTATCTCTGTCTCTTACTCTATCTCTCTCTCTCTTTCTTTCTCTCTCTTTGCTTTCTCTCTCTTAGTCTCTTTCTCCACTCACTCTCTATCCATGCTTACTCTTTCTCTCTCTTTCTCGATTTGTTTAATCTCTCTGTTTTTCTCTTAGTCTCTAAGTCTCTCCAGTTATTCATTAGTCTCTCTGTTCGATTACTTTCTCTTAGTCTCTCTCAGCATCTCCCTCTACTTAATCTGTCTTTGTCTCTCTCTCTCTCTCTGATTACTCTCTCTTAGTTACTCTCTCTCTTCAGTTGCTCTCTTTCTATCTCTATCTCTGATTACTCAATCTTTCATAATATCTCAGCAGTCTCTTTCTCTTACTCTCTCTCTCTCTTTCTCTTGTAATAACAACTTTGGCCAGGTACTAAAACTGGTTTAGTACCTGGCCAGATCACCTTGTCTTCCCCTACAATGTTTCCCCTTTCTCTCTCTTCATCTTTTCTCTCCGCCATTTTGATGGCAGTTGAGTTGGCACCTTGATGGTGTCCAATTCAATGTAATTGTAGTCTCTTTTATTTTAATAATCTTAAATATAATAATAAATTTACCTAAATAAGTTTTCTAGATTGTGGACATTGACTATTTTGTTTTTAATAAATGAATTTTAATAATGAAAATGTGATAATCAACCGGAAAAACGGTAAATTGAGAGCTGTGGTCGCCTATGACATGAATGTGGTTGATGTTGTTCAGGATTGTCTTGATTTTGATCGCAGGAAAGGAAGATGGGTATCCGCTAATTATTTCGACGATTTTATAAAGAAAAATAAAATTCAAACAGTCTCTGAAATGGAAATTAAAGCTGCCGAAGACTTAGAAAAACATCCCATGGAATATAAATGCGGATATTGTGACGAGAAGATGATCAACTTTGACAAAATTTTATATCATGTTGGACTCAAAGTTAATAAATCTAAAAAGCAGAATCAGATCCGAGTTGATTGTCCCGGTAGGCGAAAAGAGTCGAATTGCGGATCAACCATGAAAGCTGCTAGCTTACCTCATCCAAAAAAAGTCCCGTTTATTACCTTTAAAATAAGATCAGGCGCAAGACCAAGCCAAGAAAAAATTAAAGAATTAACTGACAAATTTATTGAATACCACCCCTATGCTCCTTCCCAATGATATTAATTTACATACACAAATGAGTAAATTATCGATTCAACAAGTTGATACTATTGTCGCTGATTTACATTCAACAAATAAACCACTTTATCAAGGTGATGATTTATCTAATGAGATGAATCAATGTTTCAACGAGATTCGTGAAATTTGTGATCAGTTCACTGAAAAAAGAAGCGGATTCTGGATAGAATCAATTCAATATATTGAACTTAGTGTTGGAAGATATCGACCTTACAAGGGCGGGTGTTCATCTCATACTCTTCCATCAAAATTAAAATCAAAAAATGTTTAATAGATTTGAAAACTGATACGGATTGCTTCATGTTCTCAGTTCTTGCTTGTGCACATCCCGTCAACAAAAATCCACAAAGAATCAGAAGTTATGATTCATTTATCAATCTTTATGATTTTTCATTCTGTCGAGGAATTGTTGATCTCAAACAAGTTGATCAATTTGAAAAAGTTAATCATGTTTCAGTTAATGTTTATTCATATAACATTGATGATAGATATGTTTTTCCAATTCGGATAACTAAATATCAATTAGACAAACATGTCAAATTATTTTTACATAATGAACATTATTATCCAATGTCATCATTTCAACGTCTCTTATCTTCGAAATCAGCTTATCAAAGACATTATTGTCAAAGATGTTTGATCAGTTTTCGTGAAGAAGAGGTCAGTGAGTCACTTGGTCAATGAGTAACTTTTTCTCGAAGCTGACTTTCAATAGCAATTTCTATTCATCAATCGAACGGTCTCATTGTCCTGAGCATTTATCCGTTGTCAGATTGTGATCCGATGCGACTCTTGGTTCTCTTAAAATTTACATGAACGTTCGTATGTTAACCCAATTTTTTTTGGTGCGGAAAATTTAATAGCAGCCGAACCGAACATCGTAGAGTTAAAATACCAATATGAAACACAAAGAATAATCATGCCAAAAAGATCAGGATTTCCATCATTCATAATGAAAAAATCACATAAAAAGGAAGAAAAACATCCTTTTGTCATAACCGCTGAGTGCTTGTCAATACCTACTGATGATCCAACAAAATCATTTAAACATGAGCCATGTAGTTATGGTTATGTTGTTATCGACTGGGAAAAAATGTACTTTTCAAAAACTTTTCTCATGGGACAGATATAGTTGGTGATTTTCTACGTGAGATTCTTGATCTAGCGGACCCACTCGATAATTATTTGAAAGAAAATATAAAACCATTAAACATGTCACCTGAGGATGAAAATGATTTTCTAACTTCAAACTACTGTATTATCTGTAATGATTATTTAGATCAACAAACAAAAGTTCGTGATCATTGTCATCTAACAGGAGTTTACAGAGGTGCTACTCATTTTGACTGTAATCTTCAGCGAGCATTACCTTCTCGAATTCCGTTTTTTTTTCACAACCTCAAAAACTGTGATGGTCATATTATTATTAAAAATGTTGTTGAAAATATTTTCAACAGTAGATTAACTATAACTCCATCATCTCTTGAAAAGTATATTGGGTTTTTTATTGGTAGATTCGCTTTCCTTGGATTCATTGGATTTTTTACCAGCGAGTCTTGACGCTCTAAGTAGTAATTTATCAAGTTATTATAAACTTCTTTTCCTGAGACAAGAATGGCCTATTTATCGGAAGTTTTGAAAAAAGCAACTTTACCTTATGAATATACATGTATTTCATCAATCGATAAGTTTTACGATGATCGTTTACCATCGAAAGATGAATTTTATTCATCTTTAACTGACTCAAATATTTCAGACGAAATGTACACACGATTGGAAAATATTTGGAGACAATTCAATTGTGAAGTTCTGGGTGATTTAATCGATATTTATTTAAAGGTTGACGTTTACATGTTAGCCGCATCGTTTGAAAATTTCAGAGAAACAGCGATAAAAGACTTTGAAATCGATCCTCCACATTATATGACAGGTCCAGGTCTCTCCTGCGCTGCAGCGTTTCGACGGTTGAGAATTGACGTTGAACTTTTCTGTGACATTGACAAGTTAATGATGATTGAAAAAGGAATTAGAGGAGGACTAACAACTGTCGTTCGTCGTCATGTCAAAGCCAATAATCCGAAAGTCCCACCGGTGGTGAACAAACCCACCTCCTTTACCTTGATGAAAACAATTTGTATGGTTATGCCATGTCTTCTCGTCTTCCTCATGCTTACTATTCCTGGTTAATTTGGAGTATCCTCCAGAGTTACATGATGAACATGATGACTATCCTCTAGCTCCTCATAAACTCAAAATAATATGTTAAGTCCATATGCAAAACGAATCGTTGACAAATTACAAGATAAAGGTCATCGATCGGTGTCCAGTGAGAAGTTGGTAGCAACATTTCTCAAGAGAGAAAAATATGTTGTTTTTGGTCCTAATCTCAATTTTTACATAGAAAAAGGATTGAAGGTTACCAAAATTCATCGAATTCTCAAGTTTTCATCTCAAAACTGGCTTCAAGATTATGTTGATTTCTGTACAACTAAATGTCAACAAGCTAAGGATCCATTTACATCATCACTTTATAAGTTGTTTGTCAACGGTATTTATGGTAAATTGATGGAAGACAAGAGGAAACATGTGAAAGTAGATGTAACAACATCGGCACCAATGGCTGGAAGACGATTAAGAAAGCATCTCCTTAAAAGATTCAAAATAATTTGTTGGGTAATTTTCAGGTCGGTTCACGACTAAACACCTTTGGTAATAATTAGAACTAAATTTAACCTTATTCAGGTTGCGGTAACACCGTTAATAACTTTTATTTTATATAATTAAAGTTAATTGCATGAAAGATTATCGGTTGATATAGTAACCGATAATCATAAGTATTTTGTTTTTCTAGACTAACTTAGTTAGCAACAATTATCTATGTAATCAACTATTTATCTAATATCATTACACTTCCGTCGGATTATTTTTGAGTAGACCCTACGAATGGTAAAGGAGCATTCCAATCACCTTCAGTCGGTGCTTTCATGGGAGGTAATTTAAATCCTTTATTGGATTTCCTTTTTCTCTTTCTTGAACCAACTTGATCAATGAATCTCGGTTTTGTTTTAACTTGACTGGTACTTAATGTAAAGCCTATTGTAGAAGAAGATGACGGATCTTGATCTTGAGAAGACCAGGACGATGATGATGAACATGGTTGAGTCAGTAATTGTCGAAACTTGTTTTCTTCCTGCCCATCTTCAAAGCTTTTATTTCTCTTTACGAATGAAGAAACTTCGTCGGGTTCAGGAATTTATTCATTTTCTTTCTTGAAGTACTTTCGATATAATTTAATCGTGAAACAGGCATCAAGAGCAGGGTTGTGACCATTCATTGGATTATCACTATCTCTTTTTAATCCTTGTGAAGATGGAAAATAGAACTTGACCAATTTCATTAGCGCTGAACCTCCAAACAGGTGTTGGACATTTACCACGTCAATCTTCCATTCCTTTAAATCGGTTGATGTGATTCCAATTTTTAATAGTTCCTTATCATGTGAATCGAAGATTAACACCCTTTTATCAACGCATACGAGTAGAATATTCTTTTTTATCTCGTCCAGAGGTCTACCATTTTTTATTTGTTGAGCTTGGACACTTGATATTGGAATGGTAAGGTAATTGACGTCATCGTTTTAACGAAATCACTATCTATAACTTGAGCACCTAAGGAAGCACTGGAGAAACAAGCAGCGAGGACAACTAATTGAGCTTTTCCATCCTTGGAGAGACCTTCAGTATCAATGGACAAGGTCTTCTTTTGATCATCTATTGGTCCAATAGGGTTAAGCTTATCCAAAACATTGAAATCGAGAACACCAATACTTTTCCAGAAGATCAGATGATCTTTTCTGCCTCTTTGTCGATAATCTTGACGTTTTTTGCCAGAGATTACCAAGTTGACTCTTGGTTGATCAGTGCAATCTTTCTTGAGCCAAGGGCAAGTACCTATTAGGTGGTCACCTTCGAGACAAGCGGCGTAGAAGTTACAGTTTTGTTCGGAGTGACTATGTCTGAAGCAGATGCTACAACGATTTTCTCTTACCCTGCCCTTCACTGGACAATTGTTTAAGAGTTTCATCAATTGTAGATATCCTAGTTTTAAATTATCATCAGTGGCAGAGATGGTAACCTTAGCATACACTCGACGGTCTAATTGGGTGCATTGAAATCTGAATCGTTGGTTATTTCTATCGCTGGGTGAGATTGGAACACCATAAGAGTTGAAGATCCGACGGAGATATCGAGTTAGTATAAGTAAATTTATTATAAATGTAAATGGGGGACTATCACCAGGCATCTAATAGGAGAGGGAGAAATAAAGAATAAAATATAAAATTTTGGTTAGAATAATTGGTTGAGTGGAACATAATCCGTTTCAGAATTTTGTTTTTCTTTCTTGACTTTTCCTTCATCATTTTTCAGAGTAACTGGTTCAGTTGACATTGAATAAACAGTTGGATTTTGACTGAGGATCATCTTGATGATCTTGAGAAACAACATGATGAGAATTGAAAAGGCGATTAATCCGAGGAAAAGGTTGAAAAGTTCTCTCTTCAAGGAAATGAACCAAGGTTCATTACTTTGTTCTTGAACTTTTCTAACGGCTTTTTCTAGCATTTCTAATTTTTCTGGTTCCAAGTTTATATGTTCATAATCATAAGGAGATAATTGCCAATTGATTGAGGTTGACCAAGAGGTCACATCCTTTTCATCGATTAGAGTTAATTCTGTGGGGGTGTAGGAAGTGTCACCAATTCGAAAGAACATCGATCTCGAAATTTTCAGAACCTGGTTCGGACATGGTCTTGTTATATTCAATATCGTGAGATTGTGACCGCGACAATAAACATAAAAATCTTCATTTACCACTTTAGTTTGTGGTTTTCTTAATTTATAGTTATTTGGTGAAATTTCCATGCAATCAGAAAGTTTCCATAGTCCCGTCTCAGGGACCTTACGACAGAATTGGCCAGTATTGAAGTTCAATTTCTTGGACTCGAAGTCTTCTTGATCAACTTCACATATTTCTGGGGGTTGTGATGTTTCATTGGTTAGGATGAACTTTGGACCAACATAATTTTTGACACAGATTTCGGTTCCATTCTTCTCTTCAACCAGTGTGAATGGATCGGCTTTATGGATCAATAGATGGTTCGCATAGATATCAACTCGGAATAGAAGCTCAAGGAGAAAGGTTTTATTAACCTGTTTGAAGCTGACCTGACAATTTTCCATTGTGTTTAACGGACAATTATCTCCACAAGGTAATTCGACTTGGAAAAATTTGATCAAACTCTCTGGTATTTTATTTCCTTTTTCCATTTCTACTCGAGTTTCTCTTAGTATCTCATTTATTCTCTGTGTTTGATAAACAACTGTAGCTGATTGTAGAGCAGTAACAGGGATCATCTCTTCCAGATCATCTAAACGAGCGCGAGTGGATTGAACTTGGTCTGCAATTTTTTTTAAACTTTCTTGATGTATGTTAAGAACTTCGAGAGTGAGATTTGTTGACTGAGATAATAGATTATCGTCTTTTGATTTATAAATCCAGTCCTTAATTTTTCCAAATCCAATAACGGCTAAGGATCCAATTAAAAGAGTTGTGGTAAGTTCACATTTTTCTTTTTTCACCTGGACTGCATTAGATCCAAAAATGGAACGTGTCATGTGTAGGTCAACATAATTTTCACAGTGTTTCCGTGCTAATTCGAATACATCTTCTTTATTGTAGGGTAGACGATCACAATACGGCTTCAAATGCTTTTCACAATGCGGTGCCGCTTGTCTGACACGTTCAAGACAAGTGAATTTGTTTACTAGTCCAGGACCATGTTTCATATCACATGGATAATTTGTGGTTCTTATTTCCACGTGAACTGGTGGTTTTATTTGTAAGCAAGGATTCTGTATAATTATTGTGTAATTTATATTTCGACAGCCAGTTATTATCTTGTGCTTAGTGACTCTCCAAACTACATCGGCACCATACTCAGTACCAGCTACAAGACTTAACAAGAATAAGATCATCATCATTGTAAAATTTCGACCAAGATGAGATGGTGATAGAGAACGTGATCTGGTTGGTTCTCTAGGGTTGAATTTCGACAGTTGAGAGCCATGGGCTTGGAATTCTAGTGTGCTCGAGTCGTTTTTAATTCGATATGTTGTCTCACCTATCTTGCTGATGACAGTGAATGGGCCTTCCTTCTTTGTGTCTAATTTATCACTTCGAAGAGTTTTAGTGTATTAAACTTGATCACCAACATCAAAGGTAATTAATTTTGATTTTGAATCATGATAAATTGTTTGTTTTTCTTTCGCTTCGAGAGAGAAAATTTTCGATTTATCACGAATCTTTTTCCATTCATTGATGATGAATCCAGTGTATTCATCGATGTTCATTTGATCATTTTGTGGTGATAATTGGATGTCAATAGGGAAATTTGGTTCTCGTCCATAGATCAGATAAAATGGGGAAGATTTAGTGCTGCTATTTGTTGCGGTGTTGTAAGCGAAAGTGATGAGAGGTAACATTTGTGTCCACTTGGATTTGTTTTCCGAGCAATAATGAATTAACATTTGACAGAGTGTTCGGTTTACTCTTTCAGTTAATCCGTTGGTTTGAGGATGATAAGCAGTTGAAAATTGCCATTTTGATGTCATGAATTCACTTAATTTTTGGATGATTGATGAAGTGAAATTGGTACCTTGGTCAGACAATATGGAGGAGGGGCAGCCATGACGAGAGAGGATATTTTCGATCAAAAATTTTGCAGTTACCGAGGCGGTCTTGTGAGTGAGCGCCTTGGTCTCCACCCACCGAGTAAAATAGTCAGTGGCCAAAATGATATACTTTTTTCCAGATGAGAAGGGCAATGGGCCAACAATATCGATGCCGAGTTTCTCAAATGGTCGTCCAACGTGAATCGATTTCATGTAAGCATCATGTTTAATTTGTTTATTAAATTGACAATCACGACAATTTTTTATGTAATTTGCAATTACTTGATGCATTTTTGGCCAATAATAGCGTTGTCTGACTCTGTTGTAAGTCTGGTAAATTCCACAGTGACCACCAGTCGGATCATCATGGTAAGATTTTAACAATTCATCAATTAGAGTCTCAGGAACGACTTGGACCCATCGACTTCCATATTCAGTGATAATTTTTTTTCAAGAACACCATTTCGAAGACGATGATTATTAATTAATTTTGTTTTGTTGTTTTATCCAATGAATTAAAATTTGATAATTGATTAAGTTTCGATTGAATAAATGGGTCACTCTGTTGCTCATTCATTAATTTACTCATCTCCTTTGAATTTTCTTGAACTAAGAGGGTGAAAATATCATCACCTTGCTCGAACTGTTCTATTTTATCGTTGAATTGAGGATCATGAGTCGGGTAACGGCTGAGGCAATCGGCATGAATTTTTCCCGATTTGTAAATTATTGTAAAATCAAATGATTGTAAGGTGATAGAGTATCTCATTAATCTCGGAGGAAGTTTTGTTTTTGATCTGAGGAAGCACAAAGCACAATGATCGGTTACAATTTCGAATTTTGACCCCTCGAGGTAGTGACGAAATTTCTCAACAGCATAGATGATCGCTAGGCATTCTTTATCTGATATTGGATAACTTATTTCAGCACCTTGTAGCTGTCGACTGGCATAGGCGATTGGTTTCCATTTATTGTCATGTCGTTGAAGGAGAATCGCACCTAAGCCAAAATCAGAGGCATCGGTTCGTAGTTGGATTTGGCGATTCGGATCAAAATTTTCTAGGACGTTAGTTGAGCAAAGTAACTGTTTAAGCTTTTCGAATGATGAGTGTTCATCCGATCCCCAACTGAATGGTGCTTCTTTTCGAGTTAACTGAGTTAAAGGTCGGGCGATCTTGGCGAAGTCTCTGATGAACTTGCGATAATATGAGCAAAGGGCAACGAAGGCTCTAACATCACGGATCGTTAGAGGAATTGGATAATCCTTAATTGTTCTGATTTTCTCTGGATCAGGCTCTTGGCCGTCTTCACTGACGATGTAACCAAGGTAAAGGATCTTTTTCTTGAAGAAGGTACATTTTTCAGGTTTTAGGGTGAGACCAGCGGTTCTCAATCTATTGAAGACTAATCTGAGTCTATTTAAATGTTCATCAATTGTTTACTAAAGATGATGATGTCGTCGATGTAGACCAAACATGAATTGTACTTTAGACCAGCGAGGCAAACGTCCATCAAGCGTTGGAATGTGGCAGGGGCATTACAAAGTCCAAACGGCATCACTTTATATTCATACATTCCAAATGTAGTGACGGAAGCAGTTTTGATTCGATCAGGAGGATTAACTTCCACTTGATGGTAACCACTTCGAAGGTCGAGTAAACTGAAATATCGTGCACCTTGTAAACAGTCCAATGAGGTGTTGATATCTGGTATTGGGTAACGATCCTTTTTCGTTATCGCGTTTAATTTCCGGTAATCGACACAGAGTCTCCAGTCCTTGGTCTTTTTACTGACCAAGACAACAGGTGAGGACCAAGGTGAGAATGACTCAACGATGAGGTCATCTTGTAGCATTTCATCGATTAGTGATTTTGTTATCTCTCTCTTAGTTGAGCCTTGGGTGTAAGGTGCACAGGCGATGGGAGGATGATTGTCGGTGTCAATAGAGTGAGTGAATAAATTGGATCGCCCTATTTCTTTTTGGGTCGTTGCAAACACATCTCTGAATTCACTAGCTAATTCATATAATTTATTTTTATCCTCGTCGTTGACTTCACTGTCAATTTCGAGGTTCAATGATTTACTTATATTGTCAACATCAACAGAATCAAATTCACTTTCATTCATAGTCTCAGATTCACTTAAATCAGTTGCTTCGGTATCAATTTGTATTGTTGGTTGACTATTTATATGAACTCTACCGGCTGAGCAGTCAATTTTAATGTTAGCTTTTGACATGACATCTTGACCAACCAGGACACTGAATTGTTTTGGTAATCGATCAATTACTTGGACTGTTGTTACAATCAATAGAGCTGAATTGTTGTCGCTAATCTTAATTGTGATGTCAACTTGACCTAGGATCTGAATTGGCTTATCATTAGCAGCTAAAGGAATCGGACCTTTGTAAGGTTGTAAAGTTAAATTTAGTTGATTAACTAAATCTTTAGTAATTAAGGTCATATCTGAGCCTGTGTCAGACATTGCCTCGACTTTCAAATTATCAACTTTAATCTGTTGATGAATAAGTTTTTTCTTGAATATTGAGCAAACGGCTGAAATCGGAGGTCCCTCATCACTACTATAATCATCATCTTCAGCATCGTAATCACCTTTGGTAATTGCTCTGATGTGAGGACCTTGATTACTTTGGGTAACTGACTCTGATTGATTTTGATTTTCTCTTTGTTTATTTTGATTTCGCTCTCTCCAATTTTGGTCATTGTTTGAACGATGGTAATTTCTATTGCCTCTTCTTCTTTGATTGTAAAATGGTTGTTGATCAGATTGAGATGGGAAATTCGATTGATTGGTCATTGATTGGTTATTGTTAGTTTGAGGCGAAAGAGGTTGTTGATTTACTGTCGGCTGAGCTACATAATTCGATTGACTAACAGTCGGGTGCTCTGTCAAATTTTGTTGATTGGATTGCGAAGGTTGAGTGAGTTGGCTGTTGACTGGCTGAAAGCTATTAGTCTGAAGAGCTGCAATTCTAAACCTACAGTTCTCTTCACTATGACCTCGATGACCACAAAAGTTACAGCTAATTCTGTTTGGATTGTGATTTCTGGCGGTGAGAGCATTTAGCTTATTTTCTAATTGATCGAACTTTGATTGTAACTGGTCGAGTGTTGTTAATAATTTCTTTTCAATTGAGTTCGATTGATTAGCTTCAAGACTAAGTACATGGTTAATTTTGACCTCACCACTGGTAATGGCTTTATCGGCTAACTTAGCAGCTGAGATGAGTTCATCTAATGTTTTTGGATTTTGTAATGTAATAACGAATTTAATTTGGGGTAAGAATCTCTCAGAAATGAAACTAATCATCAAGTTTTCGGGCATTTGGCTATTCATCCTGAAGCAAAGTTCTTGTATCTCGTAGATGAAGCTAGTGGTTGGTTGACCTGGTCTCTGTTTACTATTATGAAGTTGCTGAGAGAGGTGAGTTCGATAATCAGCTGGGCAAAGACCTAAAATCATTTTTTCCCTTAACTCTTCGTAAGTTTGAGGTTTGACACTGGCACCATAAGAGCTGAAGGTAAGGTTGTACCAGCGACGAGCTGAACCCTGAAGGTAAAAGGGGATAATCTTAAACATTTCTTCAGCGTTTAACCCTAAAGCTCGAGATGCTAATTCAAATTGTAACAACCAGTCAATTACATCTTCATTGTCACCTTTAAAGGTTCAATAGTCACATGATTTTTCAATAGGTTCGAAAGATTGACACTCATTATTGATGGATTAACTTGATTTGATTGATTTGATTGATTTGATTGATTTGATTGATTTGATTGATTTGATTGATTTGATTGATTTGATTGATTTGATTGATCTGATTGACTAAACTGATTATCATTGGACTCAGAATCCAAAGGTTCAGGTCTAGAAGTCATTGTAATTGAGAGATGAGAGCAAAATTAATCTGCTAATTAATCAGGAGAATAAACACTTACTAGTTATCTAGATTAACTGTTGAAGCAACTGATTCATGAACTGATAAAGCCACTGCTTGAGAGTAATTAAGGATCAATATGATAGCAGAATGATTGGTACGAATAGGCGACACAAATTTCAAAGTCAATTAAAGGTTAATAAAGAAAAGAATTTGAGAAAATTGAGAAAGTTGACCTGATTCAAGTCTTCACTGACTCGGATTAAAGTTACGGGTGATTGTGTCTTCACTGACTGCAATCGGCGAGTCTTCACTGACTCTTATAACAATGGTAATCCTTTCTCCTAAGCTGATCTAAATCAACAGTCACAATAGATTAGAACCTTTTATTTACCTCTAAAATTTTTGATTCGGGTGTAA